GTCCCCGGCCTTTAACTCCATAACCCCATTTTTGGTTATTTTGGCTCCAAAAAAGAATATGTGCAAAGACGTAGTACAAAGATGTTCGTACCGGCATTATTTAAATTGGGGGAGAGGGAGGAACCTAACTGTCTAACAACAGGGGATGAAATAAAGCATGTTGCATTCATATGACACGACATTAAAAAGTCATGCTTTAAACGAATAGTTAACGATGTGGGCAAACATTCAGAACTGTCTGGTTTCAAAAAATTAGAAAATAAAAGGCACATAATCCCAAATCTACAAGGTAACAAAAACAATGTACCAAGTCTATGGAACATCCCTCCTAAATATACCTGGAGTCTGTCTTCTCGTCATCCCCGACACCCAGGGCAGCATCCCGCTCAGCTGGGTCCCCACTGCTACCGCCCTGCCGATCCAGTCTTCGCACTATACCCAAGAACGATCTTGCGAAACCCAAATCTCATGCGTCTCCACCACCTCCCCTCCGTGGCTGCCCACTCATCTCAGAGAAGCCCCCGCCATGCCCTTCCGGGGCCGACATGGGCCCCGCCCCCTCGCCAGCAAGTCCCCACTGCCCACGCCTTGCCCCAAAGGGGCTTGAGCCTGGGAGCAGAGGAAGCTGGTCCGACCCAGGGCCTCAGCCAGGAGAAAGGACATCTGTGGCCCGGGGAGAAGCGAGAACCCTCCGGGGCAGGGTTAGGGGGCAGGGGCGGGAGGAGCGGGTTCCATTTACCATGGAGCCAAGGGAGGCAGGAAGGGCACAGCCAGGCTGTGCGGAGCGGCTGGGCTCGGTGACCCCAGGCCAGTCCCTGCCATTCGCCAGCCTCCCCGTCCGTCTCTGCTCCACAAGGGGCAGGGCTGTCCTGCCGTGGGAGATGGAGACTTGCACCCCTGAGACCAGCCGCTGCTAGGGAGGCCTAAAAGGTCCCCCCAGAACCAGGAACCATGTTAAACCTTTCACGTACCCTGAGCCCTTCCCCACCCCAGGGTCCCCATGGCGCCCATTTCCAAGGAAAGGAAAGCTCCGTGAGACGAGCCTTGCCCAGGGAAAGGACCTGAGCCCCGAACTGGCCCCTGGGCCCTCCCCCCCAGGAGGCCCTGCTGCCAAACAGCCCCATTCCCTTTCCGCCCACTCTCTGGACCACAAAGCGTCCTCCCACTTGGACCCATGGAGTCGTGCGGGCAGGTCACACAGGTGAGCAAACTGGTGCTCAGAGGGGGTCCGGGCCTTGCCCAAAGACACCCAGCCCCAGTGATACCCAGCCCCCTTCTCCAGGGTATTGAGTCTTTTCCTAGTAACACAGGTGATGTTCCCTGCCCAGATGCCCACCCCATGTCAAGAGTCTAAGCTCAGGCTCTCTTGCTGCCGCTTTGTTCAGCCTCCAGTGGGGACAGGAAGGGCCTCCTTGTCTTACCTGCACACACATAGGATGCACAGGGACTGCAGAAGCCCCCTGCCTTCCGCTGGTCCTTCCCGCTCTTTGTGGCTCACCCCTGGCCTGGCTGTGGGGCCCCCACATTCTCATACAGCCATCGTCCCAACTCCCATGTTTGTCCCAAGATGGGCGCCAGTTACTGCCTCCCCCAAGGCAATGTTTTGCCCACTCTGGTTGGGCAGAGTTGGATGGAGGAGCAATGATCAGAGAATATTCCTTATCCTACAGGAAGGAACCTCCATGGGTCCCAGGATTGCCCCAAAACTAGAGGGATCCAAGAGCCCAACTGGCAACCCCAACCTGGAGTCAGGGACCATTCTGTGCCCTGGGTCACAGAGGCGTTAGCTGTGCCCAGACTAGCTCCTCCCCCAACAGCTGCTGTGTGCCAGGCACTGTTCTGGGTGTCCAAGAAAAGGCAGAAGAGACTCAAGCTTGGCGGGCAAGGTCAAGACAGAGCCTGGGCTGACCACAAGCAACAAGGAGGAGGTGGCCACCTTGAGTCCTGGACCAGGGCGGGGCGGAGGTCCCTGGGGAGTGCCTGTAAGCATCACAGAGAGAGCACCGGAGACAGGAGAGGGAAGCAGGCAGAGGCTCTGCCTCTTGGGCCTGGTGTGGCCCCCAGAAGCTTGTAAACTGCTGCAGCTCAGACCATGACAAATGCCTCGCACCTCCATGCGTGATCTTTCAGACTGGCTGGCTGGTTTCCACCTGAGGGCTGGAATGTCATCTCTCTCTTTCACTCTATCTCCGTGTCTGGCCCAGAGTGAACACACAGGAGCAGCAGCCTCACAGTTAACAAGCGGGGCTGGGGGAGGCTGCCATGCATGCTAGCAAGCCTCTGCTAGGATTCGGGCAAACCAGTCCAAGAGCCTGCCTTCCTATGCCTTCTGCATGCCAGGCACAAAGACCAGGGTCGTAGGATTCCTCTGTGGAGAGATGAAATTTTGCCCACAAAATATATTTAAGACCAGTTCAAGATGAAGCTATATTGTATGGTCAAAACGACAATTTTTTAAGGCAGAGTGTCACTCTGTTGCCCAGGCTAAAATGCCGTGGCATCACCATAGCTCCCCAGCACCAAGATCTGGATGGAAATTCCTGGGCCCCAGCCCAGACCTAAGGAATCGCAGTGTGGGAGGGCGGCGGAGCACCTCCGTGTTTAACCAAGCTCTCCAGGAGATCCTGACCTTTGCAAGTCCTTCCCAGCAGGCGCTTCTCTTGACCCTATGCACGGAATCCCCGGAACAAAGAGCAGACGCTCCCCTCCCCAGCAGAAGGAAGCCCATCTGCAGGCCTGAGAACAAGCCGGAGCTTTCTCTGCTTTTCCTCTAGGGAGACTTTTCATTCAACAAATATGTGTGGACCTACTAAGGACCAATACACGGGGAGATACAGTTGTTAGCCACATAGACATAGGCCTGCACTGAGGCTCAGGTCAGCAAGGGAGGCAGATGGGGCAAATGAACCCACCACCACCTCTCCGGCCCGCCCCTAATAAGGGCTTCTGCAGAGGAAAAGTACCCAGGCTAATGCTCCCCGAGCAAAACTGTTCCATGTCTCCAAAGGCCTTTAAAAATAGCGCAGCCCAGCACCAGACCGGCTAGTTCCTTACAAAGCCTTGTTGACTCAACTTCTCTCCAAGTTGACATATCTGCCCAGAGAGGGGGCTGGGCAAAACGACCACCCCAGGCCCCTTCCCATCTGGAGTCCACCATCAGGGGCCTCTAGCAAAAACCAGAAAGGGACACACAGAAGAGCTCTCCGCATTAGCTCTGAGGTCTCTCACTGGGCACAGCTTAAGAGTAAGACAGACCTGAGTTCGAGTCCTAGCACTGCCCGGTGACTAGCCGTGGGATCTCGGACATGCCATTTCACCTCCCTGAGCCTTAGTTTCCCCCTCTGTAAATGGAGATGGTAGCGGTACCACAGCACCGTGGGGAGGGCGGCTGCTGGGGAATCTACGTGCTAACGATGCAAAGAGCTCGGCACATGATAAGACCTGTCTTCCCTCAGCTCACTGGTGGCTCCCCTGTCCCACCATGATGGAGACACCCTGGTGCAGCCTGTGCCTACCACTCCCGGCGAAGCCTGCGGTGCCCTCAGCCTCTCCAGGCATGGGGGCCCAGGAAGCCCCACCTGCACCTGCCTGCTGACAGCTGTGGGCCATACATGGACTGAGCTTGGAGGAGGGCCCAGCAAATCTCACTAAACAGCAGACGGACTGGGAAGGGCATCGCCCACCTTGGAAAGAGGGCAAGAGCAGCCCCTGGGCCTCACCCCCTGCTCGGGGGAGCAGCTAGCGGGGCGTGAGCTCCTTGCCGCACAATTCCACCAGAGAAGGGGCTGCACCTTGCAGCAGGCTAGCGCCCACTCAGGAAAACCCCCTTTGTTCCCAGCACACGGGGCGAGGGGCACCGAGCCGAAGCGTGGGCTTGGACAGACCCGCAGACGTGCCCAGCAGACCGACGGAGTGGGGGGAGGGGGGCAGAGGTTGTGCAATGCAGCACCAGAAGCTGCTCCCCGGCCTCCACCGCCACTCTGGCTGGTGGGCAATCTGCTGCCTCCGCCGGTGCTGCAGAGGGGCCGGGCCCACGCAGCAGCCCAGGTGTGGGTGCTGAATTCCAACCCAAGCCCAGGCCACTGCCCCCTCCCAAATCAAACACCCAGGCAGAGGCCCTTCCAGATCACGCAGCCTTCCCTCTCCCCATCACCAAAAACAGACAGGGTGGTGTGGGCCCAGTTCCATTAAGCCCTGGCACCAGGCACCTCCGGAGAGGCTGCGGGGAAGAGGGAACACTGGAATGGAGAAATTGGAGATGCCAGGGGACTGCAGAGTTGTAACCTGGGCAAGTGGAGAGAGCCACACTGGGGCTGAGCTAGCGAAGTCCACAATGGACAGGCCCTCCTCTTCGGGGTAGCCCTGGGCAGTTAAATGATCAGACCGACCAGATCACCCATGGCTGCAAAAACCCATTTCCCGGAGTGGCAGATGAGGAGGGAGGCAAGATGGGGCAAGAGGAGAATTCAGCCTACAAACGCTGCAACCAACAGGGCCTCCAGGACCCTTTGCCGTGGCGGCCACGAGCTCTCTGCCAAGTCTCGCCACCCCCCACACACCATCCAGGCCAGGGAGGGGGCGACAGGCCAACCTCGCAGCAGCAGCAGCAGCATCGTGATGCATGAATCACCCACCCCGCCGCGCTCGTGCCAGTCTCACCGCGCAGCCGGCGCCCCCTCCCGGGACCACCGCCCCCGCCCCCGCACACCCTGCCCCTTCGGACAGCGGCGGAGAGGGGCCGCGGGGGGGTTGGGGCTTCCCCTCGCGGCCGGGTGGCCCCGCGCGCGGTGACAGGCGGCACACTTCCAGGGCTGGGGAGGGTGCTAGAACAATAGGGCCAGGCGGGGGGTAGGGGCGCGGCCGGGGAGCTTGCGAGGGGTCGGGCGGAGGCGGGGCAGGGGCGACGGCGCGAAGGTGGCGGCTCGGGGCGGAGGGCGGCCGGAGGGCGGGCGGGGGCCGGCGGGGAGGGGCGCGGGCTGCGGGCCGGGCGGCGCACTCACAGTAGGTTTTCCTGGTCAGCTCCTCCACAACTTCGGGCTTCAACTTGCTGTTGGATTTCCCCATCCTCGGCGGCCGCGGCCCCGGCCCCGCGGGCCGGACCCGGTCGGGGCGCCCAGCGGGAGCGGCCGG